AACTAGATACGCCAGCAGAGGTCCAACCCTGAACAGTTGGGGCAAAAATGGAAACAATATTCAAGCTTGAGTCAGGTTTGACTTTGGATTGTAATTAAATATTTGACATATTATAGGTTTCTGAATAAATGTAGTCAAAGAACTTGAAATTGGTTATAAGAATTGAATTTATATTCAATTAAAGATTTCTTGCTGTTGTACAATACTTAGTAAATCTGTTGTCAGACCATAAACAAATAAAGTTCAATTAATTCCCAATGTCATATTAGAAATTTATGAAAACAAGAAATGATTGTAACAGGATGCTGTTACGAAGTTTCCCAAACGAAGCTCCCATAATTCGTAATTCCCAGGGTCGCCTGACATTGGGCAAAGTCCAGTGAAAATTGGTTTGGTTCAGCAAAGTCATATGCATTAGTGATGCCTGGGGACTAACCCTGTATATCATTCAAATCATCTTGGCATGACAAACCAGAATATATATGGTTTAGGGGTGGGGATCTCAACCATTTACAAGATATTAGAACTTTCTCAAATGGCAGGGGGTCGGGATGACCCCTGGGGACTAACCCTGTATATCATTCAAACCATCTTAGCATGACAAACCAGAATATATATGGTTTAGGGGTGGTGATCTTGACCACTTACAAGATATTAGAATTTTTTTAAATGGCAGGGGGTGGGGGTGACCCCTGGGGACTAACCCTGTATTTCATTTGATGTGCTTTATCATGACAAACCAGAATATATATGGTTTAGGGGTGGGGATCTCGACCATTTACAAGATATTAGAACTATCTCAAATGGCAAGGGGTCGGGATGACCCCTGGGGACTAACCCTGTATATCATTCAAACCATCTTAGCATGACAAACCAGAATATATATGGTTTAGGGGTGGGGATCTTGACCACTTACAAGATATAAGAACTTTTTTAAATGGCATGGGGTGAGGGTGACCCCTGGGGACTAATCCTGTATTTCATTTGATGTGCTTTATCATGACAAACCAGAATATATATGGTTTAGGGGTGGGGATCTCGACCATTTACAAGATATTAGAACTTTCTCAAATGGCAAGGGGTCGGGATGACCCCTGGGGACTAACCCTGTAAATCATTCAAACCATCTTAGCATAAGAAACCAGAATATATATTGTTTAGGGGTGGGGATCTTGACCAATTACAAGGTATTAGAACTTTTTTAAATGGCAGGGGGTGGGGGTGACCCCTGGGGACTAACCCTGTATTTCATTTGATGTGCTTTATCATGACAAACCAGAATATATATGGTTTAGGGGTGGGGATCTCGACCATTTACAAGATATTAGAACTTTCTCAAATGGCAAGGGGTCGGGATGACCCCTGGGGACTAACCCTGTATATCATCTAAACCATCTTAGCATGACAAACCAGAATATATATGGTTTAGGGGTGGGGATCTTGACCAATTACAAGGTATTAGAACTTATTTAAATGGCAGGGGGTGGGGGTGACCCCTGAGGACTAACCCTGTATTTCATTTGATGTGCTTTATCATGACAAACCAGAATATATATGGTTTAGGGGTGGGGATCTCGACCATTTACAAGATATAAGAACTTTCTCAAATGGCAGGGGGTCGGGATGACCCCTGGGGACTAACCCTGTATATCATTCAAACAATCTTAGCATGACAAACCAGAATATATATGGTTTAGGGGTGGGGATCTTGACCACTTACAAGGTATTAGAACTTTTTTAAATGGCAGGGGATGGGGGTGTCCCCTGGGGACTAACCCTGTATTTCATTTAATGGGCTTTATCATTTAAAACATTTTCAATTAAACAGATTGTGTCTATCACAAACGGTTTTCAATTTATACTTATTTGAAATTTTTTTTAAATAAAATCCCATAGGGTTCTATAGTAAAACCCTCTTTTCTTTTTGCCCCTCAAAGTACCCCTTTATAAACCCCATTGCACAAACAAAACCCTGATTGCACCACTAGACATGTTAGTCTAACATATTGTGAAACCCTAAGTTAATCTGACAAGCGGTTTTGGAGAACGGGTGCGGACAAGTTCAAATTTAAAAGCAGCGGAAGAGGAAGAGGAAGAAGAAGAAGAAGAAGAAGAAGAAGAAGAAGAAGAAGAAGAAGAAGAAGAATAATAATAATAATAATAATAATAATAATAATAATAATAATAATAATAATAATAATAATAATAATAATAATAATAAGAACTGAGCAAAAACAATAAGTCTTCCGAAACTTCGTTTGGGAGACTTAATAAAAAGGGAGCTTACATCAATAGATATAAACAATTCATCAAAGTTTCATGAGAATTGGTGACAGCATTTTTGAGTTATTGTCTGAAAACTTGCAAATCACCCCTATTTTAATGAATAAAACCTCATAACTCAGAAATGTAAAATGTAAAATTTATAAAATTCTTAAGGGAGCTTACATCAATACATACAAACAATTCACCAAAGTTTCATAAGAATTGCTGAAAGCATTTTTTAGTTTTTGTCGGAAAACTGGAAAATCCCCCCTTTTTTATGAATGAAACCCTGTAACTCGGAAACGTAAAATCTCAAATTTATAAAAATCAAAAGGGAGCTCATGTCAATAGATATAAACAATTCACCACAATTTCTTGCAAGTTGGTGAAAGCATTCTTGACTTATTGTCCGAAAACTGGAAAATCCAATTTTTTTTAATGAATAAAACCCCATAACTCGGAAACGTAAAATCTAAATTTTATAAAAAACGAAAGAGAGCTCACGTCAATAGATATAAACAATTAACCAAAGTTTAATGCAAATTGGTTAAAGTATTTTTGAGTTAATGTCCGACATGTTGACGACGGACAGACGGACGGACAGACGGACAACGGTATACCATAATACGTCCCGTAAACGGGCGTATAAAAAATGAGTTAATTTGTAAAATTGTATATATTATTGGAAAAAAATCATTTAATGGCAATAAATCCTATTACTTGTGTAACAATTTGACATTGATAACTTATTTGAAGATCTTATTTTATCGATCTTTTATTCGCTTTTTGTAAGTTTCTCTCGAACTCTTTAAAAATTTTGTCAAAAATGCAAAAAAAAATGATAAAATTCACAAGTCAGTGGAAATATTTACTTCCTTTAAGCAGTCAGTTGACAATTTTGCCCATGATGATTGATTGTGCTGAGCATTTTTTTCAAGGTGACTTGCTGTTTCGTTATATCTATTATAGATTATGCAAAAAATGCAAAATAGAAATACAATCATTTTCCAAGGGCAATAACTACTCTAAGGGTTTCAATTTACTTTGTTGACTTATTTGTAGATCTTACTTTGCTGAACATTTTTTTTCTTCAAATTCCCGGATCTGCACCTGAAAAATGTGCCATTATTGAAGCCCTTCGTGGAGGTATCCAAGTCAAATATACAGACAAATACTATTAATAACCACATTCAGAGCAGTAATCACAAAGTTGACAAATAATATCTGCTTGCTGTTCATTAATTAGAGAATCAAAGTGTGTCAAAATCAGGTCTACTTAATAAATTTTTCAACTTAAAGAATCATATTTCTCATTTTCATCATGTAGATCAAGCAAGTTAGACTCTGATTTTATATTATATTTAATTATTCAGAAAATATTGTTTTTCATTTTGATTTGGTTTTTTAAATTTCATTTCGTTTCGTTCCGTTCTTCAATTCTGTTTCGCATTTGTAACAGGTATCCACTTTTTAGTCCTTTCCCCTTTCCTATTTTTTAATCAAAACATTCAAACTTTCAAAAAACAGAATGATAAAAACTGTACGTTAGTTTAGTAATATTAAAGTTTGCTTAAATATCTAAACTATTAAAAATTTTAAAACAGAGTTTATAATTTTAAGATTTTAATTATTTGGTGAAATTTTTGAAATTTCAAAAAAATCAATAAGTTGGAATCAAAAATCCAAAATATTAAAATTTGAAAACTTTTAAAAATTTTGAATTGTTAAGTGTTACATGGACCTCCTACAATCTGTCAATACCTATAGGTAATTTTGTTTTTTAACTGTTAATGTCATCTTTATATTAAATACATTGGATGTGTACAACATCTCCTTATTTTTATATTATATTCCAATGTCTTGACCTGCCTAGTAAATTCATTTAGAAACAGTGCATGAAGATGCTTCTGCCAAAGTTGTTTTTAAATTTAATGAACATGATTAATGTTTGACAAAGTTAATGGTGTTCAGGACGATTTCGGACCAGGAAACCTAGTTGTCTGGCAGAAAATATTTTTGGAGCATAAACTTGATTGCTGTTATGTTTTACATGTACATTTGTACATTCTTGTATCTGATTATTAACGTTATATGCAAATAAAAATCATTTAAATGCTTTAGTAGTTGTTTTTTTTTTAGCGTTTTTTGGTGAGATGAAAGGTTCTGTCATATTCATGTAGGTCATTCTCTGGTTTATTACTTACTTTGTATATGTGTTCTTACAAGGAATACAGAAGGATAATGTATTAAAATTGAATAAAACATGTCCATTTGTTGATAGTGACCGCTGTTGTTTTTTCACTTTCGTAATATCAGGAAATCACATGTCATGTGTCTTTTAATGTTGAATAAAGTGACATTTCAAAAACGTTTTTACTTTGTAAAGTATTCAAAAAAAAAGAAAAACCTTACAATATGCATTATCTATAACGTCATCAACCAGGACTGGAGTTCAATTTGTCTCTGAAAAAGAAATTGTTTTCAATGAATGAATTTAACGGAGTTTCAAGTGGGGATTTTTCCACAAAGTCCCTGCATGGAAAGCATATGAAGAAACTTTTTTCTCAATTTTCAAGGGTGAAAAAGGGCTGTTTACAATACTATGCATAAGTGCGTTTTATACACACCAAAAGAGGCATGTAAACTTAACCTAGTGTATTTGGACAGAAATTTGGAGAAAAATAGAGACAGATAAAATGCTGGCAAGAACTCACAAGATAGATTAAAAGACAATATTAACAAATAGAGATTAAATTTATTTAAAATACACATAATTCTATAGTCTCTCATAAATTATCTACTTGTTGATGTCGAGAGTAAGTCACTAGCACTTTGGTTTCTTTGATTAAAGTCAAATTTCCGACTTTCTGATTTTTCACCAAACTGTAAAGGCTTTGCGGCAAGTGAAATGTTCATTAATTTTGACAAGGCATCTTTGGCAGCCATTTCTTCTGCTATTGGTAATGTCTCACCTGGTGCTGAAATGAATCAAATTTTGATTTCTGAATGAGATATGCGGGATTTTACATTTGTTAATCATAGATAGCTCTTGTTGTTATAATACTTTCACTTATATTTGTTTTGGAGAAAAATGGAACATACGACATGATCACATTTAATTAATATCTTTAAAAAATGTTAAAATAACGCATTTACATGAAAAAATAAATTGCTCCGCCGAGCGCAGCTGGATACGACTGCAGAGGTCCAACCCTGAACAGTTGGGGCAAAAATGGACACAATATTTGCGCTTGATACAGGTCTGAATTTGGATTGTAATTAAATATTTGACACAGAATAATTGTCAAAGAACTTAGAATTGGGTATATGATTTGAATTTATATTCAATTTTTTGCTTTTGTGCAATACACTATGTTGTTGCGAATTGACCTCCCCCCCCCAAAAAAAAAAAATATTTACCCCCCCTTTTTTTTGCTTTTGTGCAATACACTATGCTGTTGCGAATTGAGACCCCCCCCCTCCTAAAAGAAATTTGAAAAAAAATTTCCCCCCCTTGTCCCCCCTCAATTTCTTTTTTACACCCCCCCCCCCGCCATTTTTAAAATAAATTGACAGCTAATCACCTCAAGACAATATAACATTTCTTTATACATAATTTAAAAGCAGTGTAAGGGAGGTAATACAAACACAAACATTGTACTTAATTGTCCATTAACCAGGAAACCCTTGTTTTTTCCCCTTTTTTGCCCCTAATTCCTAAACGGTTTGAGCCATAACCCCCCAAAAGCCAATCTTAACCATCCCTTTGTGGTATGGAAACTTGTGGTATAATTTCAGAGATATCCATACACTGTTCCACAAGTTATTGTCTGGAAACTAGAAAAATGCGTATTTGGGCCCCTTTTTGGCCCCTAATTCCCAAACTGTTGGGACCATAACCACCAAAATCAATCCCAACCTTCCTTTTGTGGATATTAACCTTGTGTTTAAATTTCATAGATTTCTATTTACTTATACTAAAGTTATTGTCTGGAAACCAAATGTCTTTGGACAAAGCTGACAACGACGACACGATACCAATTTACGACTTCAAAATTTTTGCGGTCGTATAAAACTTGATACAAAGACAACATTGTGGCTGAAGCTGACTGCCATAGTAATCTGAAATAATTAAAACATGATACAAAGACAACATTGTGGCTGAAGCTGACTGCCATAGTAATCTGAAATAATTAAAACATGATACAAAGACAACATTATGGCTGAAGCTGACTGTCACAGTAATCTGAAAGAATTAAAACATGATACAAAGACAACATTGTGGTTGAAGCTGACTGCCATAGTAATCTAAAATAATTAAAATATGATATAAAGACAACATTGTTGTTGAAGCTGACAGTCACAGTAATCTGAAATAATTAAAACATGATACAAAGACAACATTGTGGTTGAAGCTTACTGCCATAGTAATCTGAAAAAATTAAAACATGATACAAAGACAACATTGTGGGTGAAACTGACTGCTTTAGTAATCTGAAAAAATTAAAACATGATACAAAGACAACATTGTGGCTGAAGCTGACTGCTATAGTAATCTGAAATAAATAAAACATGATACAAAGACAACATTGTGGGTGAAGTTGACTGCCATAGTAATCTGAAATAAATAAAACATGATACAAAAACAACATTGTTGCTGAAGCTGACTATCACAGTAATCTGAAATAATTACAATATGATACAAAGACACATTGTGGCTGAAGCTGACTGCCATAGTAATCTGAAATAATTAAAACATGATACAAAGACAACATTGTGGCTGTAGCTGACTGCTATAGTAATCTGAAATAATTAAAACATGATACAAAGGCGACATTGTAGCTGAAGCTGATTGTCATAGTAATCTGAAATAGTTAAAACATGATACAAAAACAACATTGTGGCTGAATCTGACTGCAATAGTAATCTGAAATAATTAAAATATGATACAAAGACAACATTGTGGGTGAAACTGACTGCTTTAGTAATCTGAAAAAATTAAAACATGATACAAAGACAACATTGTGGCTGAAGCTGACTGCAATAGTAATCTAAAATAATTAAAACATAATACAAAGACAACATTGTGGCTGAAGCTGACTGCCAAAGAAATCTGAAAAAATTAAAACATGATACAAAGACAACATTGTGGCTGAAGCTGACTGCTATAGTAATCTGAAATAATTAAAACATGATACAAAGACAACATTGTGGCTGAAGTTGACTGCCATAGTAATCTGAAATAATTAAAACATGATACAAAAACAACATTGTGGCTGAAGCTGAGTATCACAGTAATCTGAAATAATTAAAACATGATACAAAGACACATTGTGGCTGAAGCTGACTGCCATAGTAATCTGAAATAATTAAAACATGATCCAAAGACAACATTGTGGCTGAAGTTGACTGCTATAGTAATCTGAAATAATTAAAACATGATACAAAGACAACATTGTGGCTGAAGCTGACTGTCATAGTAATCTGAAATAGTTAAAACATGATACAATAACAACATTGTGGCTGAAGCTGACTGTCACAGTAATCTGAAATAATTAAAATATGATACAAAGACAACATTATGGCTGAAGCTGACTGTCACAGTAATCTGAAATAATTAAAACATGATACAAAGACAACATTGTTGCTGAAGGTGACTGCCATAGTAATCATAAATAATTAAAACATGATACAAAGACAACATTGTGGCTGAAGCTGACTGTCACAGTAATCTGAAATAATTAAAACATGATACAAAGACAACATTGTTGCTGAAGCTGACTGCCATAGTAATCTGAAATAATTAAAACATGATACAAACACAACATTGTGGGTGAAACTGACTGTCATAGTAATCTGAAATAATTAAAACATGATTCAAAGACAACATTGTGGGTGAAACTGACTGTCACAGTAATCTGAAATAATTAAAACATGATACAAAGACAACATTGTGGTTATTGCTGACTGTCATAGTAATCTGAAATAATTAAAACATGATACAAAGACAACATTGTGGCTGAAGCTGACTGCCATAGAAATCTGAAATAATTAAAACATGATACAAAGACAACTTTGTGGCTGAAGCTGACTGCCATAGTAATCTGAAATAATTAAAAAATGATACACAAACAACATTGTGGCTGAAGCTGACTATCACAGTAATCTGAAATAATTAAAACATGATACAAAGACACATTGTGGCTGAAGCTGACTGCCATAGTAATCTGAAATAATTAAAACATGATACAAAGACAACATTGTGTTTGAAGCTGACTGCCATAGTAATCTAAAATAATTAAAATATGATACATAGACAACATTGTGGTTGAAGCTGACAGTCCCAGTAATCTGAAATAATTAAAACATGATACAAAGACAACATTGTGGCTGAAGCTGACTGCCATTGTAATCTGAAATAATTAAAACTTGATACAAAGACAACATTGTGGCTGAAGCTGACTGCCATAGCAATCTGAAATAATTAAAAGATAATACAGACAACATTGTGGGTGAAACTGACTGCTTTAGTAATCTAAAAAAATTAAAACATGATACAAAGATAACATTGTGGCTGAAGCTGACTGATATAGTAATCTGAAATAATTAAAACATGATACAAAGACAACATTGTGGGTGACGTTGACTGCCATAGTAATCTGAAATAATTAAAACATGATACAAAAACAATTTGTGGCTAAAGCTGACTGCCATAGTAATCTGAAATAATTAAAACATGATACAAAGACAACATTGTGGCTGAAGCTGACTGCTATAGTAATCTGAAATAATTAAAACATGATACAAAGACGACATTGTGGCTGAAGCTGACTGTCATCGTAATCTGAAATAGTTAAAACATGATACAAAAAACAACATTGTGGCTTAATCTGACTGCAATAGTAATCTGAAATAATTAAAACATAAAACAAAGACAACATTGTGGCTGAAGCTGACTGTCATAGCAATCTGAAATAATTAAAACATGATACAAAGACAACATTGTGGCTAAAGCTGACTGCCATAGTAATCTGAAATAATTAAAACATGATACAAAAAACAACATTGTGGCTTAATCTGACTGCAATAGTAATCTGAAATAGTAAAAACATGATACAAAAACAACATTATGGCTGAAGCTGACTGCCATAGTAATCTGAAATAATTAAAACATGATACAAAGACAACTTTGTGGCTGAAGCTGACTGCCACAGTAATCAGAAATAATTAAAACATGATACAAAGACAACATTGTGGTTATTGCTGACTGTCATAGTAATCTGAAATAATTAAAACATGATACAAAGACAACATTGTGGCTGAAGCTGACTGCCATAGAAATCTGAAATAATCAAAACATGATACAAAGACAACTTTGTGGCTGAAGCTGACTGCCATAGTAATCTGAAATAATTAAAATATGATACACAAACAACATTGTGGTTGAAGCTGACTATCACAGTAATCTGAAATAATTAAAACATGATACAAAGACACATTGTGGCTGAAGCTGACTGCCATAGTAATCTGAAATAATTAAAACATGATACAAAGACAACATTGTGGGTGAAGCTGACTGCCATATTATTCTGAAATAATTAAAACATGATAAAAAAACAACATTGTGGCTGAAGCTAACTGTCATAGTAATCTTAAATAATTAAAACATGATACAAAGACAACATTGTGTTTGTAGCTGACTGCCATAGTAATCTAAAATAATTAAAATATGATACAAAGACAACATTGTGGTTGAAGCTGACAGTCCCAGTAATCTGAAATAATTAAAACATGATACAAAGACAACATTGTGGCTGAAGCTGACTGCCATTGTAATCTGAAATAATTAAAACATGATACAAAGACAACATTGTGGGTGAAACTGACTGTCACAGTAATCTGAAATAATTAAAACATGATACAAAGACAACATTGTGGTTATTGCTGACTGTCATAGTAATCTGAAATAATTAAAACA